ACTTGGACAGGGGTAGATAATAATGTCTTTTTGCCACACAAGCCTTAATTTTCATGACTTGGACAGAGGTATATAATACATGTAATGTCTTTCTGCCATACAAGCCCTCGTTTTCTTGACTTGGACAGGGGTAGACAATAATGTCTTACTGCCACACAAGCCTTAATATCCATGACTTGGACAGAGGTATATAATACATGTAATGTCTTTCTGCCACACAAGCCCTAATTTTCTTGACTTGGACAGGGGTAGACAATAATGTCTTATTGCCACACAAGCCTTAATTTTCATGACTTGGACAGAGGTATATAATACATGTAATGTTTTTCTGCCACACAAGCCTTAATTTTCTTGACTTGGACAGGGGTATATAATACATGTAATGTCTTACTGCCACACAAGCCTTAATATCCATGACTTGGACAGGGGTATATAATACATGTAATGTCTTTCTGCCACACAAGCCTTAATTTTCTTGACTTGGACAGGGGTATATAATACATGTAATGTCTTACTGCCACACAAGTCTTAATTTTCTTGACTTGGACAGAGGTATATAATACATGTAATGTTTTTCTGCCACACAAGCCTTACTTTTCTTGACTTGGACAGGGGTAGACAATAATGTCTTACTGCCACACAAGCCTTAATTTTCATGACTTGGACAGAGGTATATAATACATGTAATGTTTTTCTGCCACACAAGCCTTAATTTTCTTGACTTGGACAGGGGTAGACAATAATGTCTTACTGCCACACAAGCCTTAATTTTCTTGACTTGGACAGGGGTATATAATACATGTAATGTCTTTCTGCCACACAAGCCTTAATTTTCATGACTTGGACAGAGGTATATAATACATGTAATGTTTTTATGCCACACAAGCCTTAATTTTCTTGACTTGGACAGGGGTAAATAATCTTTCTGCCATGACAAGCCTTAATTTTCATGACTTGGACAGAGGTATATAATACATGTAATGTTTTTCTGCCACACAAGCCTTAATTTTCTTGACTTGGACAGGGGTATATAATACATGTAATGTTTTTCTGCTTTTCATTGGTTCCTCCACAGCATTGGAATATTATTGCATTACCTGTATTATATGTGTGTGATGTTTCTATTCAATGAGGAAAAAAGATAAATCAATTTTTTGGTCATTCAAAAGTCACAAATAAATAGTTGTATACTTTTTGGACATCAAGTTTGTTAGGCACACAAGCCTTAATTTTCTTGTCTTGGACAGGGTAGCTGATCGTCTTTTCTGCCACACAAGCCTCAATTTTCACGACTTAGGCGGGTAAATGATGTGTTTTTGCGGGACACAAGCCTTAATTTTCCTGACTTGGATAGAGGTAGACAATAATGTCTTTTGGGCATACAAGCCTTAATTTTAATTTTAAAAACCAGTCTCAACACATATTGTATTAAAAAACACACAAGATGCATTTTCATTTAATTTTAGACAAACACACAAGAAGTTGGGAATTAAGACACACAAGTAGTCTTTAGAAGGAAAAAATGAAAAGACACACAAGATACCCCTTTTTTTCAGACACACAAGACAAAAATCTCACAAGCATACTGTCGTGAGTAGTACCGTCCGTCCGTCCGTCCGTCCGTACGTCTGTACGTACGTCTGTACGTACGTCCCGTTCTTGTGATCGCGTTATCTGAAGAACCGATTGATGGATTCCTGCCAAACTTTGGTCATGTATGTATCTTGCAGAGCCGATGAACTGATTAGATTTTGGGGTCACGAGGTCAAAGGTCAAAGGTCACAGGGCTCATTAGGTATGCAAAAACAGCTCGTGATCGCGTTATCTGAAGAACCGATGGATGGATTCCTGCCAAACTTTGGTCATGTATGTATCTTGCAGAGCCAATGAACTGATTAGATTTTGGGGTCACGAGGTTAAAGGTCAAAGGTCACAGGGCTCATTATGTATGCGAAAACAGCTCGTGATCGCGTTATCTCAAGAACCGATTGATGGATTGCTGCCAAACATAGGTCATGTATGTTACTTGCAGAGCCGATGAACTGATTAGATTAAGGGGTCATGAGGTCAAAGGTCAAAGGCCAAAGCGCACATTATGTATGCAAAAACAGCTCGTGACCGCGTTATCTCAAGAAGCGATAGATGGATTCCTGCCAAAATTAGGTCATGTATGTTACTTGCAGAGCCAATGAACTGAGTAGATTCTTGGTTCATAAGGTCAAAGGTCAAAGGTCATGGGCTCATTATGTATGCAAAAATAGCTTGTGAACGCATTCTCATTAGAACTGACAGATGGATTACTATTTAACTCAGGACATCTTGCCGAGCCAATGAACTGAGTAGATTTTAGGGTCATGAGGTCAAAGATCAAAGGGTCATTTATGTGTATGAGAAATTGCTTGTAATCACGATATTCTGAGAACCTGTCAATGGATTACAATTGAACTTGAATTCGAAAAATTTCTTCTGTTTTGGTTTGTAAAATTGCTCTATGACGGAGGCATCATTTTCGACTGCGCGCAGTCGAATTCCATCTAGTTAAAGTATAAGTTCTTAGTCAATGAAACTTTGACTATAGGGTAATCAAGTATCCCCAATCATGTGAGTAGAATTTCAGATCACAAAGTCAAGGTCAAAGGTCATTTCAGGTCAACAGACTTGGACTATGTTGTAGCATCATCATCGAAAACTTAACCTAAGGTTAAGTTTTTGAATTTTTGATATAATTTTGAAAGTATAAGTTCTTAGTCAATGAAACTTGGACTATAGGGTTATCAAGTCTCTCTAATCATGTGAGTCGAATTTCAGGTCACTAAGTTAAGGTCAAAGGCCATTTAAGGTCAACAAACTTAGACTTTGTTGTGGCATCAACATTAAGATTTTCAAAATGCTTCTTCTTCGTTATTTTTCAACCGATTTTGATTCTGATTGTTTCATATGATAGGGCTAGGAGGGGATTTAAAATTTCTACACAGAATCGTGAAATTCATTATCTATGCTAATTTATGCAAATTTATTCGAAATCACAAAAAAGGCTTCTTCTCCTTCATTTCTTGACCGATTTTGATTTGGTTTGCTTTATATCGTAGAGCTAACTTTGGTACACTAACCTTCTATTCAGAATTTTGAAATTGTTCTCCATTAATTAATTATGGTAATTTATGCAAATTTATTCCAAAAATAACAAAAATTGCTTCTTTTCCCTCATTTCTTGACCGATTTTGCCTTATCTGGTAGAGCTAAATTTGGAACAATAAACTTCTACACAGAATTGTGAGATTTTGCTCCATTGATTATTTATGGTACTTTATGCAAATGAAATGAAATTATGTCCCTTCCAGGGCATCAAATTTCTATTTTATTTCATATTTCGTCGTTCGAAATTACATGAGATCCCGCCAAGCGCATGCGCAGTCAATTCGCCGCGCATTTGAATTTTACAGGGAAAGTAACTTTCCCTCAGCAGTCAAAATACCTAATTTTCGGCGTTTTTTCGGACCACCGGTTTCGAAAAAATACTTCATTAGGGAGAGAAACTCTCCTTTTTCATGTTTTTGGAAGACTTTTGAGAATCTGTGCTGTTTGTATATCAAAAATCGAAGTTTTGTTCCGATTTCCACGTACACGATGGCGTCTCCGTCAGGCAGCACCAAGCAGAAAACCAGCGAAACGCTGAGCACGGCTAAAGCCGGAACTTCCCCGGGCGAAACCGCCGCGGGCCCCTCTACGAAGCCTGAGCCAAAGCGCTCATCGGCAGTGAAATCCTCCGATACGAAACGCAAAAGTGTCTTGGCAAAGCCTGCCTCGAATGAGTCTAAGAACTCTGGGCCTAAAAAGAAGGGCAAAAAGCCTGAAGGAAAGGAGGACTTCACGGATTTACGAGGAAGACTTGACAAATTGGAATCCTTAATGGAGAGAATGGTGGATTTTTTGCCTTGTCAATCTGCAACTCGCCCCACAGGGGATACAGCTGCGACGAACGTGAGATTTCGTGAAGTTGAACATGATGATGATGATTTTGAGCATATTGACACTGGAAACATGGGCCAATGCCCTACGTCATATGACATTGGCAGCATGGATGAGGGTGATGTCAACGAAACTGTTGCACCAGGTTTGACTTTAGACCAGGAGAATGAGGACAAAGTTCCTGCCCTGGCTCAGAAATTTGCTATCCCTACTGGGGTTGGTGGCGCGATCCACGATGATTTAGCAAAGTCTGCCATGTACCTCATGTCCCACCAGCTAGAGGAAAATGTGTTGGAGGAAGCTGGAGGGAAATACCCTCCTCCAAGCAATTGTACTCCACTGTGTTGCCCCAAAGTGAATGCAGCAATATGGGAAAACCTATCCTCGCAAACGAGAAGCCGTGATTTGAAACTGCAAAGAATCCAAAAGCCTTTGACAAGGGGACTCACAGCTTTTATTCAAACTCTGTCCCCCGATAGCCTATCTGAGACACAACAGGATGCATTGGCATTGCTGTGTAACACAAACTTTGAAATCAACTGCTTACGCAAAGATCAGATTAAGCCAGACTTAAATGCCAAGTACTCACATCTTTGCAAACCTGCCACACCAGTGAGTCAGTACTTATTTGGCGATGACTTAACAAAGAGAGTCAAAGATCTTACAGAACAACAAAAAGCTGCATCTGGCGTGGTGCGTGGACAACGTACACCCCGCCCCCAGTACCATCCGTACAGGACGCAAGCGTCCAGCACTTTTCAATACCGCAGACAAGGATGGAACCGTGCCACCGGCACATCACAAACTTTTCCAAGTAGCAGGCCCGCAAGTGGGAACTACAACACGCCTTTTTTAGGCCAGCGAACCCAATGAGGCAGACCATACAGAGCTCCGCCTCACACCCAGACGATGAGCATGGGAAAACAGACCCAATCCTTCCAGCGGCCACAGGCAGCAAGGAGGAAATAGCTACACCATTACCCAAAGAGGTAAGTAGCACATATGAATATTGTGAGAATGTTAATGCTCCTTCTACTTCATATACATTACAACAAGAATGCATCTCAAATGTGCCTGTTGGAGGTCGATTGATATATTTCTATCGTAGATGGCGTGAATTAACGTCAGATCTATTTCTGCTATCGGCAGTGCGAGGCTATGAGATCGAATTTGATTATTCGAAAGGGGTTCCCTCAAGAAATAAGCCCCTCTACGGCTACAAAAAGAGCCCTTTAGAAATAAATCAGATTACTAAAGAAATCTTGGCTCTACAAGCAAAAAACGTAATAGAACCTTGCTCATTTGAAGAGGGAGAATTCCTCTCAAACATCTTCACGAGACCCAAGAAAGATGGGGGTACTCGTATGATCTTAGACTTATCAGAGCTTAATCAAAGTCTGAATGTACAACACTTTAAGATGGATAACATCCACACTGCCAAGCACTTGATTTCTCCGCACTGTTATCTTGCATCAATCGACCTCCAAGATGCTTATTACTCCATTCCAGTAGACCCAAATAGTAGAAAATACTTGAGGTTCATGTGGCAGGGTGAGCGCTGGCAATTTGCAGCCTTACCTAATGGGCTCAGCACAGCCCCCAGACTGTTCACAAAATTGCTGAAGCCAGTCTTTGCCGAACTGCGACAAGCAGGTCATACAGTCATAGGATATTTGGACGACACCATAATTATTGGTGAAACAAAAGAAAAGCTGAAAGAGAGTGTGAGTGCAACAACCAAGATCCTCTCAGAATTAGGATTCCTCATTCACACTAAAAAATCAGTGCTCACCCCAACACGTGAACTAGCCTTTCTTGGCTTCATTCTTAACACTGAGAGTATGATTGTTAAATTGCCTCAAACAAAGGCACAAGAAGTGAAAGATTTATGCCGTGAATTAATGGGCACGTACCTCCCATCAATACGAATGGTAGCACGAGTGATTGGGAAGGTCATAGCAACTTTCCCTGCGGTTGAGTATGGCCCCTTATACTATAGATCAATGGAAAGGGACAAAATTGCAGCCCTCAGACAAAACAGGGGTCATTTTGACAGAAAGATGAAGTTGTCCCTTGAGGCAAAAGAGGAGTTAAAGTGGTGGATGAACAATGTTTCTATGGCCTCCTCCCCAATTGTTAGGAAAAAACCTGACTTAGAATTGCACACAGATGCCAGTGGCCTTGGATGGGGAGCTACTGACCTCCAGAAGCAAACAGGGGGTCGTTGGAATGAATTTGAGGCAGAAAGGGCACGAAACAATGAAATAAATTTCCTGGAAACCCTAGCCGCTGGGTTGGGGATAAAATCCTTTTGCATGAATAAGCGTAACGTTCATGTGATGGTAAGAATAGATAATACCACTGCAGTGGCTTATTTAAATCACATGGGAGGCTGCAAGTCCGCAATGTGTGACAAGATGACGAGAGAAATTTGGCAGTGGTGCATTTCTCGAAATATTTGGGTCTCCGCAGCCCATGTACCTGGTCGGCTCAATACTATAGCAGATGAAAGATCCAGGAAATTTAATGATCGAACAGAATGGAAACTAAACAGACAAGTGTTCGATAGAATAGTTTCCCACTTTGGTGTACCAGAAATAGACCTGTTCGCCTCGAGACTAAATGCTCAAGTAGAGAAATATGTCACTTGGCACCCAGACCCTGGGGCTTTTGCAGTTGACGCATTTACGCTAGATTGGAAACCTTTTGCATTCTATGCATTCCCACCGTTCTGTATGATCCCCAAATGCTTGCAAAAAATCAGAGAGGATAAAGCTAGAGGGTTACTTCTGGTCCCTAATTGGCCTACTCAGGCGTGGTTCCCTCAGTTGGTTAGCATGATGGAAGGAGAGCCACTGTTTATCCAGAGGCAAGAAGATTTGCTACTCCTTCCTGTGTTAAACACCACCCACCCTCTTAATGCTAATATTGACCTCTTATGTTGCAGGTTATGCGGCAACATTTTGAGAATCGGGGACTAAGCAGACGAACAGTGGATATCATTACAGCTTCATGGAGAGCATCAACCTGCAAGCAGTACCAAGTGTACATCACACAGTGGCGAAGATTTTGCCACAGCAGGAATACGAGTTACCTCCAAGCCGAGGTGGAAACGGTACTAGAATTCCTTAGTAGTTTATTTCATGACAGGAACCTTAGCTACAGTGCGATCAATACAGCTCGTAGCGCTTTATCCACTTTTCTGATTCTCGTTGACAGTAATCAGACAATAAGTACTCACCCACTTATAACCAGACTGATGAGAGGTGTTTTTCAACTCAGACCTGTCGTACCTAGATATACAGAAATATGGAATATTAGTCCAGTCCTCAATTTTCTAAGAAAATTGTCTCCAGTAAACTCCTTAAACCTCAGAGATTTAACACTCAAAGTATGTATGCTAATGGCTCTTGTATCGGCACAGAGAGTGCAAACCTTGCATATATTGAAGACTAACAAGATGACCCTGAAAGGGGGCTTTGTGGTTTTTCATTTGGATGAACACTTGAAGCAAAGCAAACCAGGAAATACCGATTTTAATTTTAAATTGGAAGCATATCCACCTGATAGAAGATTGTGTATTGTAAAATATGTGAAACATTATGTCCAGCGCACAGGACCACTTCGTGGGAATGAGAACTCATTCTTTGTAAGTTACACCAGACCTCATAATAGAGTAACAACTCAAACCTTATCTCGCTGGATCAAGACCTGCTTGAAAAGAGCAGGTGTGGATACAAACGTTTATAAGGCTCATTCAACGCGGGCAGCATCAACTTCAGCAGCTGCCAAGGCAGCACTTCCAATGGACCAGATCCTAGCCCGAGCAGGATGGTCTTCAGAGAAAACGTTTAGGAAGTTCTACAGGAAACCTTTTGAAAACAAGAGAAACTTTACCCAGGCAGTCTTACAAGATAGCACACTGCTTTAAGAACTGCATCAGAAGGTTTTTCAATAGAACTGGCATTAAGAGACCAGCTGTCTATTTAATAGAACTGGGATTAAGAAACCAGATGTCTAGAATAAACTAGATACAGAAACGAACAATGTTTTTGCAACATTATGACATCTTATATATGGACGTCTTGTATGTGAAATGTTTTGCCACATGTATGAACAGACTACAATAAATGTCAAATATGGTGAGTCATTGATTAGAAGCATTCAATTCAATCTGCATAATCAGTGTTCACTTTTCCGTACATGTTGGTTGTTCCAAATGTGACTACTATGCTTCAAAATCTCATGTAATTTCGAACGACGAAATATGAAATAAAATAGTAAGATTAAACGAGAACTTACCGTTTGAAGTTTGATCTTTATTTTATGAATATTTAGGAGGAAGTTATTACATGCCCTCCTCACCCACCCAAACTTCAAACTTAAGTGTAAGTTCCCTGTTCCTTACTATTGAGAGTAGCCACATTTGTAGCTTTGAATATTGACTGCGCATGCGCTTGGCGGGATCTCATGTAATAACTTCCTCCTAAATATTCATAAAATAAAGATCAAACTTCAAACGGTAAGTTCTCGTTTAATCTTACTATTTTTGACCAGTTCAAAAGTGTACCACATAAAATTTACGATATTTGTTGTTGTGAGATGCGGATGAGCGCTACGTCATTGACGTTCTGGTTTATCATATTGAATTGCGTTATGCAGGCGAGACCGCCGAGAGCGTTTCCCTTGTTTATAATTTGAAAATAAATAAATGCATAATTTTGACACAAAAGATAACTACAGCAGTAATTTTCATGCTGTCTTGCTTATATGACAAGGATCCTCCATTTAGAAGCAAGAATTTCACTAGCTTTTAAAAAAAAAACTGTCATTTGTCACTGATGACAAGTTTTGTGAAACACCCCCCTGGTCCTATTGTGATGTTTATGTTGTCTATCATTTATTTTGATGGTTCTTCTATGATTATAAACACAACAATATAGTTTTTTCTTTTTCATTTTCATATATATATATATATATATATTACATATTTTACAATGTGTGACCAAAACAAATTCCATGTATTCTTGTGAATTTGGATGAATAAAAAGAATTTAATTTAATTTAATTGAATACCTATTTCTTTTCTCTCACTTGCAGCAAAAATCAAACAGCATTTGGACCCTGAGGGACTGGCTCTGGGTACCATGATGGCTACATCAAAGAAAGCAACCAGACAGATCATTGAACATGCTTACCATAGGTATGCCTGCCATACATCCTCTTCATCTTGTCATCAATCTTGTAACATGTATCACCTCAGGCCTTAAAAAAAAATATGTTGTATTGCCTTTTAGGTGCCAAAACATGGGTCGGTCGGTCTGAAATATATTTATTTTTTACTTTTTTTTAAACTCCCTCCTTGGGCTGATATTTTTCAGTTTTGAATGCCTTAATACATTTTTTTCTAAAAAACTGTAATTTTTTATTATTTTTTTTCTAAAGCAGACCGTAGATTTCAAGATTTTGCGGTCGGTCGCAAAGGGAAATACAACATCTTTTATTTTTTAGGCCTCATAGTTCTACAGAATTTAGAGAGAGAAGTAACGGTGCAATGAGAACTAATGTTCAGGAGAAAAAATTGAAAAGAGATGGTCTTTCTGTAGAGGTGGTAGACAAAAATGGGTTTTACTATACTTTAATGAAGTAAGGCAATCTGTTTAGAATGACATAGACAAGAGACATAGTTTAGAGTAATTCTGAATATCTGACTGAATGGTGACGAACATGGGAATGTCCGTTACTAACAAATTTCTTTTGCTATATGGGCCAAATTTCTTATCATTTTGATGACTCCAGAACCTTGGAGTACACACCAATACTTATAAGCTACATGATCAACTTTTTCTGATCGATTCTGCACCGTTTCTTTCACAATGCAATCGCATGACCAGAACTCAACTTTATATGTAATTAATCATTAAATTCTAAATATTGGTCTATTGTGAGACTTTTGAACAAGATAGGGAAATACACAAACTACACTACTAGTTGGTGAGGTTGTTAAGACTTCAAGGACAAGTCTCAATGAAAACGATTGTATTCTTTAATGTCAGGTATTCGTATGGAGACCAGGACAGGATCCCTGATTGGCTGAGATCGGATGAGACTAGGCACTGCAGGAGAAACACGCCCGTTACCAAGGTTAGATAATGAGCAGAACAATCAACCCCCTCTACTGCCTACAAGCTGGCCAGTAACTACCCCTGACCCGCCCCCTTCTAGATAATGACCACCCATGGAAACCTATCTCTTTGCGAGGATAATCTCAGAAATCATAGTTATTCTGGGGGGCGTTTCACAAAGATCCTAAGTTGAACTTAAAAGTTATGGAAAGCTGTTTGCATCCATGAAAATATTTTGTAATTTTTTTTTAAGGCATAAATATTGATTTAAATCATTCATATTTTCTATTATCAAGGAGATTTCATGTTCTTGATGTGGAATTTATCCAGCGTCTAAAATACTTAAATTTTCGCTTTCGAATATATTTCATTTTAAAGCTACAATGCCCAGCGATGTCAAGAAGAGGAACAGGAAAAGGAAGGAGAGTTATGGAATCTACATTTGCTCTCCATAATGCTCTCCATAATGTTTAAGTCTAACTGAGAGTTAAGTTTGACTTGGGATCTTTGTGAAACACCCTCCAGGATGATTGCTACCTAGTACCATCCTTGTATTTCAAAAGGTCATAGTTGTGACTGACTGAATGATACTTGATCTTGGGGCTAGTTGGTCTGTGGTACTACATGTAGGTGGAAAAGTCTTGAAGGTTTTTAAAGCCGGGGTAATAATAAGTGATAGATGGAGCTATAGAATTGCCTATTAATATTATTATTTGATAGTTGTAGGGTACTGTACCAATTCCAATGCCCATCCCACCAAAACATTATCTCCATTACGATTACTTTCCTTATCTCGTTACAGGAGCTTGTTGCAGAGTACCGTGCGAGGCTGCGGGAGGTCAATGCCCGTCCCATCAAGAAGGTCGCCGAGGCCAAGGCGAGGAAGAAGAAGAAGCAAATCGTCAAGTTGGAGAAGCTGCGGAAGAAAGCAGAGGTGATCAGTGACCTGGTGGACACCTCGGAGACGGAGAAGATGAGTCAAATGAAGAAGTGAGTCTCATCTTCTGTTTGGTTGAGACGGGGAGATAATTTTGAAGATCATTTCACTAAAAGAGAAGGTTGAGTTCTGAGAAGAGATGGAAAATAATTTGTGTGCGTTATCATTGTATTATGCATATGTGGAATAACATCAGATAAAAAATATTCTGTGAAAAGCATGGCTCTTTAAATGCCTTCATATTCTATTAAAATATGGCATGTAAGATCATAAAAACTGGGACAGATTTTTATGCCACATGTTTGTGTAGTCCCATATACATCTTTCTGTGTACAGTGTTTGTAACTTTGCCAAGACTTGGCCAAATTTCTTATCATTTTGATGATTCTAGAACCTTGCAGTACACACCAATATTTACATGCTAGATAATCAACCTTTACTGATCGATTTCACAACGTTTCATTCACAATGCGAATAATGCAATTCAACTTTATCTTTCAAGTAACTGCATTACATACATTTTGTTTTCTGTAAAACATGAAATGGATTCATATTGAATTGTCAATGGGTTATACAATTTTCAAAGGTCACTTAATATACTAGCTTAAAAATATGGAAGCAATAAGCAACTTCCTAGTAGAGACAGGGGGATTAATGAAATGACGTTAAATACCCGGTAATTGAGAGTTTTACTTTCTTTAATTAACTACAATATTATATATTTGTTTCTAATCTCCCTAAATTTTTAGCTAATGAAAGTTATTTGATATGTACCAGACATCATTTCATACAGAACATTCAGTTTCAGAGATGTTCTTTTGCCCTTACTGGTATGTGATTATTTCTAACTCTCTCTCTCTCTCTCTCTCTCTTTACTTCCCTTGCAGTCTGTACAAGAAGATGAAGATAGGGCAAACCAAGAAGAAGGACGTCAAGTACGTAGTCACCAGGAAGCACCAGTCCACCAAGAGGGTCAGTCGACCCAGTGGGGTCAAAGGTCCTTTCAAGGTCGTCGACCCCAGGATGAAGAAGGACATGAGGGGCCAGAAGAGAGCAGAGGCAAGGAAGAAGAGGGACAAGAAGAAGCGTTGATCTCTCTCCCTCTCTCTCTCTTTCTCTCGTACCTCATCAATGAACGAACTTGATATTATAGGGGACAGCGTAATAGACCAGTTCACGGTTAGCACATGTCCCAAATGACCCAGAATATGAAGAGGTCCCACCTTGTACATTTTGAAGTAATCACTCCTACAGCCGTGGATGGGCTACATCAAAAGCCTTCGTTTCCCCTTTTCAAAGAATACTTCCACCTGTGCATCATGGAGTGCACTACCTGTTACATGATTACATGACTTTCCGTGTATTTCACAATTTGTTCTGCAATGACCTTTATCTGCTCACGCTCATACTGCTACCGCGAACTGGCTTATTGCTTTGTGTAGAAGCACTGTGATGTCATGGATTACAATGGAATAATCTGGCATGTACATGTACATTGATGAAACCACATGGCCCCTTCAATATCTTTTTCACTTTTATCTGTAAAATGGCCCCAAACAATTAAATTATGTCAGGAATAGTCATATTTGTTTAGCTGCACAAGATGAACAGCTGTAGAAATTGTGTACATTCATCCAAAGATCGAAATTTTGTCCTTTGATGATTGTGTGCATTTGATGCAATGTATTGTGCACAGGAAAGAAAGATATTGATGACTTTTATCATTCCGTATTGTGTACATGGCACGCTTCTTCAAATGATTTTAAGATTTTAAGATAACCAGTAGCAAGACTCTTCCTCAACCGCGGACTTGACCTAACAAATTATCAGTGGCCCCCATATTATAACAACTTTTACAATATTAGACATCGCATGTCATGGCCCCAAACATTTAAATAATGTCAGGAATAGTCGGGTATGCTTATCAGCACAATATATGAACAACTGTTAAAAATATTTAGGTTCTTCCAAAGATCAACATTTTGTCACTTTTATAACACAATGTTGTGTGCATTTGAGTTGAACCTACCAAGACTTTAAAAAAGGAAGAAAAAAAGAAGCCAATTCCCTACTTCGTATTCTTTTGGGGTCTCATGCTATTTAGGAGATTTTTGTCGTTCAGCAGACATGTGAACTATAATACTATCACAATCATGTCTATTGGATGGACGTCTATATGTTGGTATTATGAAGACATCAAAATAGTGAAATATTTTAGAAATAAATGATTTTATGTAACAAGTACATTTTCTTTGGTTTGTCATTGTTTCATTTTTTTTCTTCTGTGGTAAAATTTAAGATCATATTTGAAATTATAAATGGTAGAATAGATTGACGAGTACTTAGTGAACTATTCGTTTTCCGGCCCCCCCCCCCCCCCTAAACTGGCAAAATTCAGTGAGCATACAGGATTTCAAATGCCTCCACACAGGCAACTCGCGTGGTGGGTGCTCACGACGTGCAGTAACTGCACTACACTACTGCAGTACCTGTATATAGAGCCAGCAATGTTTCATTTGAGCCGTGCAATTTCTTTTTTGGATGTGATGTGAATGCGAGTACGGTACATGCAATTACAAAGTGTCGAAGGAATGATACAGGTGGAAGGGATATAAAACAAACATACAATGACTAATTCTCAGAACTAGCTAATACTATTCGTAATCGCACTCAGGAACATCAATAGTACTATTTGATGTGCCTTTGATGGGAATAGTTTTAGCTAGATCCTCGAGTGTCATTGTATACTATACCGGTACATGTATTTCTGTGTGTCTGCCTGTCTTCCTTCTTTTCCCAGTATCCATAATATAATAATAATAATAATAATATTCAGCTTTTATATAGCGCAAATCACAATAAGTCTCTAAGCGCTTCCAAACTTAGATATTATTACCCTGGCTTTAGCTGTGCTGCCATTATAGCGCTCTTGCATTTCAAGGAATAAATTCCTACCAGGTACCCATTTACTTCACCTGGGTGGAGTGTGGCAAATGTAGATCAATATCTTGCCAAAGGACATTAGTGCGGCGGCGGGACTCGAACCGCGGACCTTGTGATCGACAGTCCGGCGACGTATCCACTCGACCACAACACCTCATCATCATCATCATCATCATCATCATCATCATCATCATCATCATCATCACCACTCATTTATGTAAATACAAAATAAAGCCATCAGATAATGGTAAGTACAGTTCATGTAAGAGTGATTTTCATGTCATTGACAGCCTAACACCTTCTCACAATACTTCTTATGTAAATTCATTTAAATAACTAAGACAGGACAACGTAATCTTCTTTTCAACTTCATATTGTTTTTTATTCAAAAACGTCCTCAATATATCCTTATTTACAATAAAATCTCCCAGATTGTCAATAGCACCAATATTGAGATCAATAATAAATGGACATGTTCATCTAAAAAATTGTAAGCATTTTGGGTGTTTAAAATCATTTTAATTTAAATGATTTACTCTGGTATGCAGCCATTTATTAAAATGGTTGTGTAAATTATTTTAATTTCCCAATGAAAAATGGAAATAATGTATATGAAGATTCACTTCATTAAATTTATAAATATGATGTTCTTGTTCATATTCAGTAAGTTAATTCATCTTTCCACATGAATTTGAATAAAAAATTCTCCCACGCTTGGGTCTTTGTGATTTTTTAAATACTAAATTATACAAAGGTCTGGCATGATAATGTGATATATCATTGTTATCCCTTCCCCCACCCCTAAAAAAAAACACACAAAAAGGTATGAGATTGCTTTCAAATCAAATTGCCAATCTGTTACTCTGTTTTCATCGTAGCTCAATGAAAGTTTCCAATGGTTCAATTCCTCATAAATATTAAATGGAGGAATAGGTCATGCACTAATAACGATAAATATAACAAGAATGATAGAATTCTTATACCACCGAATACCATGATTCATACCAACAAGTGGCACAAGTAGTTGTTAATCACTTCACAGTTGAATTAAAAGGCAAGAAATACGTATTCTTACATCGTAAACTTGATTGAAGTTTGGAAGAACTTGCAATAGAATTTGATAGGAACATTTAAATGTGACATTGTACATGTAATTACGGAGGCTCCGAGTAGTCGTACGAGTAAAAAAAAAAAAAAAAAAAAAAAAATCATTACAATGGGATTGCAGACAAGTTGTATAGAGTACAAAGGGCTATATAATGCATCTTGGGTACAGGTAGGAAGGGAGAAATGTCTAATAAACAGGATAAAGGATTTGCCAAAAATATAATGTTTTCAGACGAAGCTTTATATGAAGATGTCTCCATATTTTAATGTTGATACATACTCATTATAGTGGCATTTGGTATTGCTCTTACAAAAGTAACAATGTATAACTCATGGTGACACTCCTACTATTACTACCCCAGTTAAATCTTAGGCTTGGCCAAGATTTTGTGTATACAGTAGGAAATACACTGCTCCTGTTCTTAAATTTTCTGCATTTACATATAAATATATATGAGTTGTTTTAGATTTACAAGTTGAAACTTCCAATGGGGAAATCAAATTTGAGGTGGTAAAGAAATTCTCACAAATCATTTAACACAATACAAGATACACACATCTACAAATCCTTAGAAATTGCACTGATTCCATCTACAATATATTACAAAATATCTATCAATATAAATTACTGAATACTTTTCTTGATTTGTCATATACATGTATTTCATTTCTCAAAATATATATAAAACAAATTAGATATTTACCCAATTTCCAACAGCTAGAAAATGTAATGGAAAAATAGAAACATTGCATAAAAAAATGTACATGCATGAGCTTGCCATGTAAATAACTGCTACCACAATAAAAACTTCCGTCACTGGTTTTGACAGGTCTTTCGATGAACTATACATCTTATGTGCGTACAGCTAACATAAACGATAGACACAAATTTGCAGATAAAAAATGGCAACACATAAGCATCAGACATATCAGAATTATAATCTTATCACAATCATGTAATTAAAGTAATCAAATACTTTAATTTGATGCGCCTCATCAGATGAGCCCAAAATATGCCAATAATGTAAAGTAGGCAATTGTAATACTCCAATATTCTATATAAAAAGAAAAATAATTTTGAAAAGATTGCAGTGTGAGTGTGAGTGTGAGAAAAGAAGGATTAAAAATGTGAAATATTTCTCATTGCCAGTCTTACATCGCCAAGATCTAAAGGTGAACAATCACTTATTTTCAATCTTTGATGTCTGAACTATCAAAGCCTCGTCGTAGAAGATTTCACACTACAACCCTTTACTCTGTGGAACAAATTCCATCTCTCTAGACATATACATGGAAATACATTGCAAGGATCGATGCTCGCATCCACACTCAGCAATTAAATGCACGTTCAAGATACATGTGTAATAAAATCATGCCGAAGGAAAAAAAGCACTTTGATTATAAAATCCCAGAGAAGACTGCTCAATATCCAAGAGAAAATGTTTCACTATCTCATAAAAGAATACGGCACAGGCACGATAGCTCAGTTGGTGGCAGTGGTCTTGTAATTCGGCGACCCGGGTTCGAAACCAAGGTGATACGCTAGTGCCCTTTGGTAAGGCATCAATCCTCATTACCAGGTCTCTCAGAGAGGACCTAAAGCCGTCGGTCCTCTGGTTACTTACTAATAAGTGTTTATGCTTTCTTAGCAGTCGGGTAAAAAATGACCACCACTACACCGATTGAATAAATAGCCCGTGAGGGTTGCAAACAAAATACAAGAGAGAATAACTAATACACGTTGTGCAATGTAAGGTGGGCTCAGAGAAAGTTCCATGGAAATATATCCCATAATATACAATCTGTGACACTGGGAAATTTAAAAAAAAATCTGTTTTATCAAAGCAAACATTGTTTTACAACATATTGATTGATGAGTCAATTAGTTACAAATGTTTTATACATGATTGTTATGATGCACCAACGTTATGTACATGTATAAGGCCCTTCATTTCTTATTGATGAGATTATATATATAAAAAGACATTAAATATCTGCTGATCCGACACATGCCCTGGCGACATTTGCTCTGGGATTCAATTCGTCAAAGATATAAGTTTAGGGTTTGGGTTTCGATTAGGTATCATGTAAGGCTTAGGCTTGGGTTAGGTCCAGGGTTAGGGATTAGGCCTAAAAAAAAGATGTTGTATTGCCCTAGAGGTGCAAAAACATGGGTCGGTCGGTCAGAAATCTTTTAAATTTTTTTTTACCCCCTCTTTGGGCTGATATTTCTCAGTTTTGAATGCTTTAATACTTTTAAAAAAACTTTTAAAAAGCCGACATAGATTTCAAGATTTTTGGGTTGGTCGCAAAGGGCAATACAACAACTTCTTTTTTAGGCCTTATATTCAATCCATGGTTATGGTTGAGGCTAAGAAATTTGTTTGCATTTAAAAAGGAAGTATCCATCTATCAAGGTGTTGTTAGGTGAACGTGGTATCCTGAGGATGGTAATCCGCCTGAATCGTATTCACGTTGTCATCCGTTGTCAGGGTGATGGTGTGTTCTCCTAGTGCCTCTCGCTCTTTTTCATGGCGTCTGGTGTTTCCATCCCCTCCTCCTTCTTCTCCTTCTCCTTCATCTTCTCCTGTGTCGTGTTTGTCAGCCGAGTTCATCTCAACCACCACATTGAGCTGATTCAGGCTAAATTGGGGTTTCTTTGCAACGTAGTCATCATCTAAATGATTAATTTGAAGAAGATGAAGTTAGAAGCATAGTAGAGACAGGGGAGTTGTTTTAATATCTTCTCTTTCTGCTACCAAATTATCATCGAGGAAAAAATAGTAACTATTGCCAGTCCCTCAAAGATATATAATTTCCACTATTCTTACAAACGAAATACTTTGTATATTTGTTTTATATCCCTTCTTTACGATCCGAGTATTCATAGAAGCGATATAATATACAAATAATGAACGGTTATGAGTTCAATGGTGCGAATATTTTCATGAGTTGAAAGATTAACATTCTATTCAACGAGGCGTCAGCCAAGTTGAATAGAATTAATGTTAATCTTTCAACGAATGAAAATATTCGCACCATTGAACTCATAACCGTTCATTATTTGTTTTTGTTTCAGTGAAAATGTCACTTTTTCATTTGTGATTTATGTCTAGTAAGAATTTAGACGATTTTTCATATATTAAGAAGTTTTCTTATTTTCCTTTGAGAAGATCACATGTGTTTCTTTAAGGACACCTTAGAATATCTGGGACCGGTACGTGGCAAAAGTAAGTCACGGCTAAGTTCAGAGCCACATCATCAAGTCAGAGAACGGACGTGTTTGTCCACCATTTTTGATGTAACAGTTTTGTCACAAATGTCTCCGCGAGGGGTAATTTGTGTTCCACGGTTTCGAGTAGATCCTGCCAAAGATGTACGTATTAATTATCAATTGGTTCAGAGGCAATTAAGCAAATATATAATGTAGAAATGTAGAGTTAAATGAAATGTAACTAACGAGCGTGGAATGTACGCAACTTGTATGGCCAGGTTTGGCGAGAGTATTTTCGGTCAGTTAGGTTAATACCATATTTGTCTAAATATGTGTGTTGATGTGCTTGTATAAATAATGCATCAAATAATAGATTTATTTGGTGGCATTAACAGTAAGATTTGAGAAGTTTTTATTCTGGTTTTTGTTGTAAGAAACACTTCAATTTAGAAAGTGGGTAAATGAAACAGATGTTGGTTTTGTATCAATTTTACATTGATAGATGTTACAGTGTGAGAATATTTGGACTGAAGAGGTCATGATTGTATTTCTTTGATTGTAGTCGAAATATATAAGGACAGGTTTTTTGGAACAAATTAATAAACAGGCATTACTCAAGTTGAGATTAGAATGGATATTCAATCTTTATTGCAAATATTCATTTAACATTTAAAGTGAATTATAAGAAGTACATTTACATGAGGGCTAGGAATGTTTACAATTGGTAAATACAAAAAGAGAATTTTGATGCAAAGTGGCAAACTAAGGATATACCTGTTTCACAAAGTCAATATTTAATGGTTTAACAGAACGATGTATTGGTGATTAGCAATCGCAAGGCAATGATGCTAAGGATTTCTTCATCTTTTATTTTTCATACAGATTGAATAAACACTCGATTTATCGAGGACTATCCGATTCAACAGGACAAACTCGACTGAGCATTCCTTCTTTCCGTGAGCCAACAATTCAATATCTCTAAAGCTGACCAGGGAACGGGAGAAGATGTCTGAGAAAGTAAAGAGGAGGACCGCCAAGGCCAAGCTCACAAGAAAGGAAAAGGCAGTCCGCCTCCAGATAGATGAGAATCGTCCTTCATCAGAGGTGAGCGACATGTTTGTAGAGTACCAACAGGCGTACCACGAGCTTACAGGCATCCATGAAGTCTATGCAGCAACTATAGAAGACGATGCAACATTTGAGCAAGAAGGACAGTGGATGGAGAAATGTCAGAAAGATTTCTTAATGTTCCAGATGGATGTTAAGGACTATTTCCGTAAGGAGTCCCCAACTCCAGTGGTTGAAGTTCAGGACAGAAACAATCAAGCAGATCCAAACCCCCTACCTGATGACATTCATACATCCAGTGAAGTCAATCAGGCAAGCCCTCCTACGTCACATGTTAGACAGGTCAGTAGTTTCCAGCTGGAGAGACCCAAGCTACCTAAGTTCAATGGGGATGTGAGAGAGTATGGTATATTTAAATCAGATTTCAAACATCTGGTCGAGAGCAGGTACGGGAACAGGGATGCCATTTCGATTCTACGTACTTGTCTACAAGGACGTCCACTTGATCTGATTAGAGGTATTGGGGCTGATTATGAAGCAGCATGGGAGCATCTTGATTGCATATATGGAGATCCAAGGTTTGTGGCTGACGCAATAATGAACGATCTCCACAAATTCAAGCCTCTGAAAGAGAACGAAGATGGTCGTTTTTGTGATCTGGTACATATGGTGAGAAGAAGTTACAACACGTTAAAGGAAATAGGCCGAGAGAATGATATGAACAACAGTAACATGTTGGCCATGATTGAACGGAAGATGAACCCAGATGACAGAAGAGTATGGTTCCGCTATCAAGAGATAGACAAAGATGAACAGCAATCAGCTGTTTCCCTGGAGATGCTGCTAAAGTGGATGAGCGGAGAGATGAAGGCCAGAATGAGAGCAAATGCTCCCCTAAGAAGTGACAGTCGTCATGCAGTAGGGCACATGTCACAGACACCTCAGAGACAGCAATCAGAAGAAACTCTGCAACACCGTTGCTGGATATGCAAGACAGGAGACCATTGGGTGGACCAATGCAAAAAGTTCACATCAAAGACCGCACGAGAAAGGCTCCAGTTTGTTAAGGATCAACATGCATGTTTTAGCTGTTTGAAAAAAGCAGGGCGGAACCACTCAATGGCAACGTGTCGGAGGAGGCAGCAATGTCCGGAGATGAGGGATGGAAAGAGATGTACCTATTTCCATCATCCATTGTTGCATTTTGATTCTGAGGGTGCGAGTGGAAGAAGCACAGTTGGTGTTGCTGCAGTGGACAGTGGAGAAGCCATGCTGCCCTTGGTTACTGCAGATGTTGGGCACAGAGGGAACATTTTAAGGGGAAATGTTCTCCTGGACTCAGGTGCGCAAATAAGTTTAATAAGAGATGAGTTTGCTGCTGAGCTGGGACTGGAGGGGATCTCGGCTACCATCACGGTAACCAAGATAGGCAGAGATGAGGAAACATTGACAACGAAGAAGTATAAAGTGCCCATTAGAGAGGTAAATAAAAGCAAAACAATAATGGTTACTGCATTAGGAATAGACTGCATAAGTGATGACGTAGCTGCGGTGAACCTGCCGGAGTTGGCCCAGAAGTTTCAACTGAGAGAAGAGGACTTGCAAAGAGGTAGTGGACCAGTTGATCTTCTAGTTGGAATAGACCATGCTAGACTGCATGCCGGAGAAGTTAGAGTAGTTGGCGGCTGTGCTGCTAGGAAGTCCGCTGTTGGATGGGTTGTATTTGGCACAACTCAGAGGGAAGCAGAGAACAGAACAAGAGTTCTTCATGTTAAGTTAGCAAGCCCAGTTGACTTAACAGATTTTTGGAAGATAGAGTCAGAGGGTGTTAATCCTACCTCCTGCCAGTGCACACAGAGTGGGCTTACCAAAAAGGAAAAACGAAGAAGATCTAATAGAACGTTAATCAACAAATTATGCTTTACTCCTAATATTAAAGATAAATTCAAGTTGGATTCAAGCCTTCTCGATTACATTCAGATTGCCTTCGCGTCAGATACACGCAGGGATACGCGCGCCCACGGCAGAGATGCAGTCTGCATATAACCAAAAATGCACGGCGCATATAACCAAAAATGCACGACTGTGCAATATACCATCTATTGAATATCATGTGACCAACAATCCTCAAATCAAATGACAGGGATCCATGTAGGTGTTGTATAATACACTCTATACAAATGATCTCAACATAAATCTTGAAATGAGTACCTTTAAAATAAGGATATATTGGAGATTTTCATCTTGCACTCAGAGTTGAAAATAAAAAAATGAATGCTAATCAAGGTTAGCATCTAGCTCTCTATGGACCAGCCAATAAAACCTTGCTATCTTTATCAGTTGCTTTGTTCCCCCTTTAAGGTATTTCACATTTATATTGTTTGATTTTGATGTTCTTATAATTCTGGAAGTTTAAAAAGGCAATTTTAAACAGTATATCTTTTTTCAAAGCTATTCTTCATCAAAACCTTAATACAAACCAAACACATCTCATTGGGCGCCTTTAAATGTTTGAAACAGATAAATGGCGCCATTCAAGTGATGTGGATCATCATCATCATCATTCATCATCATCATCATCATCATCATCATCATCATCATCATCATCATCATCATCATCATCATCATCATCATCATCATCATCATCATCATCATCTCACCTATTTGAATGCCATGCTGATTGAGTGTATTTCTCAAGACTTCTATCTCTTTCTCTTGTGCTGCACAATATCTTCTGAACTTTTCCATCTCATGCTCCACCTCCGCCCTTAAATGTTTCTGTTGCTCTATCTTCTTCTTAGCTTGCGTCTCTACCGATAGGATTACTCCTGCAGGGGGAGGGGGAGGGGGGGGGTGTAAAGTGGTAACCAGCCATTAATTCATCAAATGGTAACATTTTAAAATAATAATAATGATAAAACAGCACTTTCTCCTTTTTCCGAAAGAGCATAACAAATAATGTCCAAATGTCGAAAACCAATTGAATTGGCTGAGATATGACCATCTGAATAAATAGATTTCCTATAGGACCTCAGTGTTATTTTGCTCTGGTTCATAACATTACGACATTTGGTCACAAAAATGTTTGTACATGGTTTATACAAACCGAGAATGACAGTTTATGTTCTGAGATTGAAGATTGTTGCTCACCACTATCGAATACTATGTTACAGAGTGCAAAGCAACTCTTTAATTTTGTTTTAATGAATACATAGTAAAACAGAACAAGACATTGATCTACATTTGCCACCCTCCACCCAGGTGAAGTAAATGGGAACCTGGTAGGAATTTATTCCTTGAAATGCAGAGCGCGTGGTAGCTTCACTGCTAAAGCCAAGATAATTTGCTGCATTATTGTAGAGTGCTTAACAGAGACTTGTTTTAGGCGCTATATAAGCAAATGTTATTATTATTATTATTATTCATTTTGACAGGATTTTTTTACCATTGACTACCCTGACTATCCTCCACAGTCGAAGCAGGACTAGAAGCTGTAACACTGCAAACTGCTCCTCATAGATGAGAGATACAACGTCCAGTACAAACGATATCACAATGATGATTCCATCAAATACCTGTTCCAAAGAATCGAACAAAATAAGAAGAATAAACAGAGCTTTGAATCTTTAAACCTATGGTATAAGTGGTCACTGTATACAATGGCCATACAGGTATTAAAGGCATCGTTTAACCATGTTAAATCTGAGATGCATGGCCCTACGTGCTATCAGTGTCTGTGATATGGTGAAGCCCTAAAAGACTGACCTAAAGGCTTATAATTACGTTACGTTTGCAGTATTATCTAAGTCCAGGATTTTGTTTCAGAATCTGAGGCAATATGTTACTGAGTCACTTTAGTGAATGGGGATTAATTTACTTGTTTCCCACAATTTTTTTTTTTTTTTTTTTGGGGGGGGGGGGGGCTGGGGGGGGGGGGGGGGGGGATAACTCCTCTAAGAATGAGCAGTGCATTACCCAACATCTTTAAGCAAGACATGGGTATCATTCAAATAGTATATACTGAAATGCTCTTGAAAGCATCTATCATCATATGAGGACTGAAAGAAACATGAAATGGGTCAAATTGATTTTTCACATACCTGAAACTACAATACTTGGTAATAAAGGGTATGAATAATTTAGTTTTTAACTTTTATACTCAATAAGAATAGGTGATGGTAAAAACTGGTAACATTTTCAATTATGGTAAACTTGTCATATATACTAATATACTCTCAATTAGAATAGCTTGTGGTAAAATTGTCACATATATGTTCTCTTTATAAGAATTTGTTTTGGTAAACTAATAATATTAACAATATTGGATATTTATATATATAGCGCACATATCCACCATGCATGGTGCTCAAAGCGCTCCTACTATTACCCCGGCTCTGCTAGGCAGCCGATTTCGGCGCTCACAGTATCCAAGGAATTCCTTCCTATCAGTACCTTGGGTGGAGAGTGGCAAAGGTAGATTAATATCTTGCCAAAGGACATAGTGCCATGGCGGGACTTGAACTGCAAACCTTGTGATCCACAGTCCGACGATTTATCCACTGTAGACCACAACACCTCTAAAAGAGCTCTTTACCTCTAGCTTGCTCCTGAAGAACTCCATCCGGAAGACCGGTATCTTGATGAGAAGCTCTATCATGAAGATAGAGAGGATACCAATACTGATATAGTGAAGGACGTTAGCTGCAGTGACCTCCTTTTCTTCTTTGTCCGTCTCTGTTGCATTGCACTGCCCTTCCTCCTGCTACTCAAAACAAAATAAAATTCAACAAAAAAAAAAGCAAAATAAATTTAATCAAACAAATAAACACTACTCAGCAATGATAATAACTTACAAAGAGTATTTATTCATCAATAAGCCTGTTTGGAGGCAATTTTGTGCATATAAAGCTGTACATCATTTGACATTTGTACAACACTCAAACCAATTGAGATGAATGATGAATACGTTGCTAAGAAAGGCTCCAAGAAGGCATGAAGTTATGTAATCCATCATCATTAATTTTTTGCACCAACAGTATATTCTATAATAAACAGGTGCAATTTTTCTTTTCAATGTTGGCAATTTTTCCAACTGATTACATTGTACATGTGACAAATCTATTGCAGGTAAACTTAAATCCCTTTTTACCTTCTCCTTCATTTTCCTTCTATTTCAAATTTTTCCTCGTTAATTGTCCCTTTCCTTTTCTTTTAGTCTGAGCATGTGGGTATGAAATACCTTGATTGATACTCATACAAAAAAATGTTGAAATCCTAGTGTCATATTAAATCACTCCTATATTCACAGGTGATAGTGAGCACTAAAAAAATTTAGGTTTTTTGTTTTCCCCTCAACCACGCCCCCCTTGAGTAAAAAAAAAGAAGAAGAGGATTCGCGGGGGAAAAATGGCATCTACATGTAACAACATCCCCCCCCCCCCCCTTTCGAGTAAGAAAATTTGGGAAAAATAAGGCAAAATAGGGAAGAATAAAGAAAATAAGGGGGAAATCTAGAAAATCAGGATAACATAATGGAAGAAAGAAAATCTGGTAAAAAAAAAAAAAAAAAAAAAAAAAATCAGCATTTTTTTTCTTCTTTTTTTTAAATCGGGAAGAAAAAGAAAAAAAATTGGGGAAAAAAATAATAATCGGGAGACCGATTTAAATCTGGTTTTTATCAGGCCTGTATATTCAACCCAAACTTTTATCAATCAATGATTCTTGCAACAGCTAGAGATTAACTAATTATAACTGCAATAATCGTGGGTTGATTACAAATTTGAACCAGCAAAACATGGTTAGACTTTCAGTTTACAACCAAAGGCTCAGATCATTTCACCTGCCTGCATATTTATCCTCCAAAGAGAAACAATTTACTTGGTATGTTAGCAATCTTTTATCCCCACAAGTATCGTATCATCTGTTTAGTTTCACAAGGACGTTAACTTCATGTTAAAGCATATGAGTTAATGCTCTTCTGGCTCCAAACAAACGGCATGATTCCATTGTTACATGCTTATTTCCAACAAGAGAAACCAAACACTTTTCCATTATACATTCTTGCTATCAAACTCCAAACTGCAGCTTGGCTATTAAACCACAAACTTAATACATAGTAATAAAAGGTGTTTGTATGATGCCATACGGTATGTGCTATCTAGTGGGCAAAAACTTTTTTTTTGTTGGCCCCATGGAACGTTTTCAAAGTGGGGAGGGGGTGCTTAAGTATATAGTACAGCATAAATTGCCGTGGGGTCCAGGGGCAAGGGGCAGAGTCCCCACAAGCTCAGGGGTTAGAGGCATTTAATTACGATCAGATGGGCCCAGGGGCCCGTCTTAGGGACCCTGGTGGGGGTCCACCTAAAGTGTACTCACTTTAATCTACAAACTAAAACTGTATGTGCTAAATAACAGGGATTCTCAAACATTTTCCTAGACGGTCCAGATGGTCCAGATATCAAAAGAAAGGTGCCAGGTGCATTCGCCCACCCCCCCCCCCACCCCCTCTCCCCCTGCTCTTTAAGGGTTTTAAATACTTAATATGCTTTATACAGAAATCCACCACTTATTAGGTATGTAGCCAGGTTCCCATCCATTTACGCACTTGCTAAATGGCAACCAACTTGTGAAAGAGGAGAAACGTATCCAGATGTAGATGTCCCTGATAGAAACCTGCTATAATCATTGCATGCAGTAAAACTATCTGCACCCCAAATAATAAATAGTAAATTAATGGTGGTTATGCTATAATGGCCATCTGTCTACAATAGTCCCATATGACTCATATCCCCTATAGAAAGACTAAATGCATTGTAGAACCTGTATACAAAGATTATTAAAACCATATCCTTCCAGTGACCACTATAGACAGGTTTGACTGTATTACATTGATAAGATGAACACATACAGGCCTACAATGTTCAGTGACCTTTTAAAGACGGGTTTTACTACCGGGTTATTAAAAGGGTTTACAGCTGTGCAGACAAATATGATTAAATGATCCATCCACCACCGCAGTGTTTTGTTATTAGCATTGTGCCGGCATCAATCACAGCAAAATATCATACTTACAGGATGAGCACAGCCTGCTTCAGGCACATGATTGTTTGCCTGAAATATGTTTAATTGATAGTCAGATATTATGACGATTCATAAACACCTTTGCTTAATGTACTTACTGGTATGCTTACAAAAAGGGGTAAACATCATATATATCGTCGCTGTTTTCACGAAGTGACGGTAGTGAAAAAAAATTGCATTCACTTTGCGTTACGATTTTCCTCACTACCGTCACTTCGTGAAAACAAGGACGATATGTACATGCACACATTCCTTGGCAGTTATTTCTCCCTGTAGACTATTTAGTGCACATTTTTCCACAAATGTGAATGAGGATATATAGTCTTAATGATAATCTAAACTGTTGAAAGTATCAACAAGTACAATCTGCTAGTGCTAGGATATTCCACCAACAGAACTGTCGGTTAACCAAGGAGTTACTTGGCAAGCTTTGCAGAGTTTTCCTTTTCCAATGGGAAGAAAATGGGTCTTTAAAGGAATATACCGAACCTATAATACCAAACTTGATTGTTTGTTTTTTTTTGTTGGGGGGGGGGGGGTTAATTCCTACTAGAAATGATATTGGTTTTTAAATATCCATTTTGTGAGCACCTTGGACATCCTTCAGAAATAAATATTCATGGAGATGCATTATAAAAGGTGTAAATCATTATTTATTCATCATTGTTGCATTTGTGGCATATTCTAAAATGTAGGCCCTGCACTGTCAACATTTTTACAACATGGCACATTGACGAATTAGAAAGTGTCCATTTTCAGTAGCTTAGTAATTAAAAGCTAAACAGTTGGGTTCAATAAGGCAATAGATAGCCAACGTCTTAATGAAAACTGAAAATAAACTTGTAAACTATATCCCAATGCACTTCCACTTTGAGAGAGGAAATGGACATTTTCTTTCGGGGGGGGGGGGGGGGGGGAGATTTATTATTTTGGCCTGTAAGGCCTGCATGGGTATACATGTAGAACAAAAATCAAATCAAACCATACAGTGGCTTATAGAATATAGACTAGTCTTGATGCTAATGAAATTCCAGTAGACAATAGTCCGTAATATGATACCATATCTACTTTCATATACATGTACCTGGCATTTTTAAATTTTCTTGTCATGTCACAGAAATGTAATATCTTTAATAAAAACAATATATTCATCACGTCTGGCATTTTGCCAAGTACTATCAATTTCATATTTTGATCAAATTTTTTAAAATACTGGTACATGAATTTATACATTCTTCTTTGTACCTAGTATGCACTATGAACATAATGGACAAAGAAAGCGGACAAAATATAGTTTCTCATTCTACCCTCAACAATTGCTGTGGTAGACAAAGGAACATCCCTTCACTGCTATTATGTAAAAATGTGTAGAACAGGTGAATATGCATGTGACACCTGTTCTACACATTTTTACATACATGTAATAGCAGTAAAGGGATGTTCCTTTGTCTACCACAGCAATTGTTGAGGGTAGAATGAGGAACTGTATATTTTGTCCGCTTTCTTTGTCCGTCATATTCATAGTGATGAATGATAGGTACATGTATATATTCAATTCAATTCAATTCAATTTATTTTGCCAAGCAATAAAAAACATACAGGGTAAAACAAAAGCAGTATACAAAGTTTCACACAATTACAATATATAGATAAACACAGAAATACACAGAATCAATTTACACACATGAATAATACAAAGGAAATTGCTAATGCTGGTAGCAGCCAGAAAGGAGGTGGTCCTTGTATGCGGCTGACCATTAATAAAATATAAAAATATATAGACTCTGTAATTCTACATGTTCATGTACAGAGTGTATGAAAGAGTATGAAAACTTCCATTATGCTTGAAAAATTCTTTTCAAATTGTATAGCACAGGATATAAATACGTACGCTCAACACTTCAAAGTCAATGACAAGCTCGACGATGACCAGAATGCAATCGATGACGACCAGGACCAAGATTGCGATGTGGAATTTCTGCGTCTCCATGATCTCGTGGAGCTTCTCTCGCAGCGAGAGCGGTTCCGTCCTGGCCGGGTGACCATCGTGAGAGTCGCTGACCACCGAGTCGCTGCTGTCGTCTTTGACGATCACCCTCTGCTGATCGTTGCCTTCGGAAGGCTTTGTCGTGTCACTCAGACGACGGAAACCAAACATCTCGGCATCTGCAGGGGTTGCCTCACCTGAAAAGACAAAGAAAATACATGAATGAAAACATGAAAATGCATACTTGTAGACCTGACATTTGCTCCTACAACACTTGCTCCAGGATGTAATGCCTCTACTAGCTGGGTTAGGGTTAGGTTTCAATTAGGTTAGAGCTAAGATTAGGTACATGTATAGAGTATATATAGACTATTTGGTAGGGTTGAACTTGGAATTTGGTAATACTGGTAATCATTTGTAAAACCAGACTTACTGTGTTTTTATGTTTCAGTTCAGGGCCCCCGTTTCATAAAAACTTGTTATCAATAACAAGTTACAATAACTGTTATAATTAAGCTACTGAAATTGTTGCATTCGATTGGTTGACAGCAAGATTGTTATAAAAAATGTAACACTTGTTATAGATAACAAATTTTATGTCATGGGAGCCAGACGTGTACATGAATAATTTTACATATACATGTGTTCAAGCCCTTACATGTACATTGTATGTGCTCACAAGTGTACAAGTGTATGTGTGTGGTGACAACTCTACCAGCACATTAACATTAAAGAATAAATCAAATTTTCACAAGAATATAAACTACATTGCACATAGTCATACATGTATAATATCCTGAATCTAAATACACCACTTGTTCATATACACAATGGCCCGAATTCACAAAGGAGGTTTGTCGACAAACCTTGGTTTTCGTACGTCATATGACGCGTTTTACGCGTTTTTTACAAACCTGGTTTGTAAAGAACAAAAAGAGGTTTGGCGAAACAAAAGGAGGTTTGAGCTCAAACCTTGTTTTGTGAATTCGGGCCAATGTAGCTGGAGCAGATCGATATAAGTCTTAAAGGTAAAGACCAGTAATGGTCATGCGATTGCATTGTGAAAGAAACGTTGTGGAATCGATCAGAAAAGGTTGATCATCTAGCATCTAGCATCTGCAAGGTTCTGGAATCATCAAAATGATAAGAAATTTGGCCCATTCTTCGTAAAGTTACAAGCACTATACACAGAAAGATGTATATGGGACTACCCTATCTCTCTCACCAGACCATGAGAGAAATAAATTTACCAAATATATGAATTAGTAGGCGGTTTCCCGGCAAATTTTTTATCATCATGTATTAGTCAAAACATATTCTTTCACATGATTGGTAATGAGAGCTTCCATTTCATTTTTTGAAATTGGGGCGTTGCCAATACTGGTCTTTACCTTTAAAAAGATAATGCCTATTTTTTTCAGATGATGCCAAAAAAACTCATTTACTTTATCACAGCAGAGTTAATGCCCTTCTAGGTCTGACCGACAAATTAAAAAAAAAGATACACATTTTCAAAAGTACTGTTTAAAAAAAATCTACTCCACATAATTAAACTCATTTAAGCACTTTAAAAAAATTAACAACTTACTCCATTCTTCCTCCCAGGTAGGCTTCACCCATCCCACATGATACTAGCATTTGTTTTTATCAAGGGTGTATTCTAATGAATGGTAAGTCATACAGGTGCATTTATGAAATCATATGGTTTGACCTAGTGGCCTGTACTTCAAAATGAATTACACATAATACTTGAATATTGCACATTTATACAATTTTCGAAAAACCTGAGAGGATCAAACGATGATGAAATGGCAAGGAAATGAACAATTTATATACTTTACTTGTACTGTAATCTAATATCTTCCAGAATAGTTTGACCAAGTCATTATACACTGTACAGAGAAGGAGTTATTCCTCGGTATAGGTTCAATAATATATAATTCTCAGTGAACTCTTTGAGTATATATTTACATTATCAGAGTCCAAAGGCAATTTCGATTGGGGACAAAGTGGGAGGGTACCTGTTAAACGATCGATACGCCTCCTAATATTTGCACTTTGACAGGGTTCTAAGGTAGCACATCTAAACAAACTTTGAACCCTTGTAGCATTACCAGTACACAATTCAAAGGAGCTGATCGATTCCTGGTAGAACCCGGGAGGCAAAGTATTATTCTTTTAAAGTTCACATTCGAGTCGAAATAAAGGGGATCCTCAATTCCAGGGGACATTAACTTCAAAGGCATGGTGAAAATAGGCTACTTTATCATGGCTACCCCCCACCCGGAAAGAAAAAAGCATTTCATCGAGGCAAACTGCATAGAAAGATTCAATTTCCCACACTATAAACTGCTGATTGCTAATTTCTTGATTCTCCAATCTCCCTTTCTGATTTAATATAGCCTTTTAAAATTTTCTGGAGGCATTGCATGCCCAGACTTCCTGCAAAGCAATCATTGAATGCTGTCATTTTTCTCAAGGACAATTATATAGCATACACTGGATGTGTATTATGAGATTATGATGGTTGCTGTTGTGAATGATAGCATGATTAGTAATTCCATGATTAGCTTACAATTAGCAATGCACCATTTTTTATTAAATTTTAGTTCTGTGACCTTCAATTTCAGAACAGTTTTGTAATGAACTACAACCGACTAACAATGCACTTCACAGAACCTCAGGTGATCTGGAATGAATAGAGCATCCTTCATAGTTACCTTCAACTAAACTTATCACTTTTCAATCCACAATAAAAGATATAATATCAGATTGGTAGAATTTATTTTAAAAGGCAGTTCAATTTTCAAACATTCAATTTCATTCAAAGTCCATCACAGTCAAATATCTTTCAGTATGGAAAGGGAGAACGATATTGTTTTTACCTCAATTGAATTCTCTGAGTGCACAGCACTTAAAACAAGATCCACTCTTCAACAATTCACCTGTGAGAAGATTCCAGGGAGAAGAGAATAAATTCCAAACTTGTTAAAACAGAAAGAACACAAACTGATCCTCTCCTCGATTTGCCAAGAATACCATAAGGCCTGTTTAAACTCAGCGAGTGGCACGCTACTGTTTTTCTACTGGTACATACTACACGTTTAATGAACACTAAATGACTTGTTTTAGGCTCTTCATACACTAGCTTACATGTACTTTGATGACCTCACACTATATCGCTTCACGGTGCGTGTTGCATGTCACTCCCACGGTAGAAGCTAGTGCAAGTTGAGCCCCTAACTAATTACATAGTATGACTAAGTACAGCTCACCAGAATGAGGTTCCCTGGGACCGAAACTTTACTAGTCATGTGACTGTACCTGACACCGTGTAGTCGATCACTTAGCAAATCTCGTTATCAGTTGACAAACACAGAGGCTAGGCACACTGGGTAAGGCGGACTCACAGAGTCACAATGTATTGTAAACAGAAGCCAAAAGAAGATACGTGGAACTGATACATGTTGCGGTTGTTTCTTACTTAAAATTGTAGCTCAAGCAATAAACTTGATATTTTGAATTTGCTTGCAGTTTGGGAAAATGCAAAATATGTGCTTCAATCTTGCCAACAAGTCAATGAAATAAAACTTTACAAAATACAAGAGGAACCTGTATCAATCAACACTCAAAGTACAAAAATTATCATAAGTTTCAATATTATCAGCATTAATGATACTCATACATGTAGCAAAAATAGGCAACATTGTTATTGAGCAAGTGATAATAATTAATAAATACAGGTAAGTTCATATTAATTTTCAGTGATTGTTGTAATAATTACAGCTAGGATCATAATTATTCAACGGCTTATAAGCTTCAATTTGATATATGATTTATCCATTTCATTTTTCAATTCAGAGTTGGTCTTTAACTGTCTGTAGTACTATCTAACAGCGGTTTCTTGACTTGCAGTTATTTTTACAAAGTATACTGGATATAGACAGGATGTTTGTACTCAACAGAAGCATCAATTGTAGAATGAGTATGCTATTTGGCTATGAAATATATTCCCACATGTAAACAAACAACTATACATTTATCAATGACCTATAGTACCAGGAAATACAAACAGTATAAAATGGGTTTGCTTGATTTTTGCTTCACTATTCCCTGTTCTTAACATATTATGTAGAATTAAGGGTGCCAATTCATTTACGATCAAAGATAGACTCATTTTCTACATTTTAAAGAAAACTGTGAAATGCCATGTAACAGACTATTCAACAATTCAAAATAGATTACAATGTTGCAAAAAATGGCAAGAGCCAGACATGAAGAAAAAGAGATTAACCACATAGAAAATAGAAGAGGATATGTGGTTTGATATCTGCTTTTATTTATCAGGGGTGAGAGAAGAATAAGAAAGATTAACAGGAGAGAGAGAGAGAGAGAGAGAGAGTGAGTGAGAAAGAGAGAAAGAGAGAGAGAGAGAGAGAGAGAGAGAGAGAGAGAGAGAGAGAGAGAGTGAGAAACTGAGAGACAGGGGAGACAGAAATTAAAACACTGATTCTTCCAAATAAATCTAAATGGCAGAATGGTTTGTAGCCTAGTTACTCTACAAAATCAGGATTACCTCAATCTTACCTAAAGCTCCTTAAAAGAAGGGGGATAGAGAGAGAGAGAGAGAGAGAGAGAGAGAGAGAGAGAGAGAGAGAGAGAGAGAGGGAGAGGGGGGGGGGGCTATGTGACCCCTAAATAATCTTGAACAGTTACTTCCTATGCTTTGAAAATTGTCCTGTAAAACTTTTTGAGAACGAAGCACAACACAAAAACAATATTTATTTACCTTCCAATTTGGTTTTATGCTTATCAGTTTTAGCTCCTGAATGAGTTTCACATCCATCGTTTTTATCCTCGGAAGTTTCACAAACTCCTCCTTGCTCTGCAAATTGGCCATCACCACTCTTTTCTCCCACTTTGTTTCCATGGGAACCACCCCCATCTCCCTGTTCCAACAAACCCTGAGAAACTTCCTCAGTCTGCTTTAAATCAGGCTTCATGGTTCCAGAGTCTACAGCACACCTACCTTCACCTTCACCCTCGGCCATTACCGCTTTACACTGCTAACTTCAATACAAAGTGAACCCTTTGAGAGAAGTTAATGGATTCTTTTTTCCCTCTCAAATACCGATCCGACCGTGACACACGATACTAAAAATGTATTATCCTGCTTTCACTGTCAGACAATAC